ACCCTTTATCTTGATTTTAAAAAATTTTTAAGTGGGGGTAAAAATAGAAATGAACTTGGGTTTTCCCTTTTTTTTTTTTTTTTTTTTTTTTTTTTTTTGTTCAGTTTCACTAACCAGTCAACATTTATATTACTGCCAGACCTGTCGGAGAAAAAAAAGAAGAAAACCTTGGAGTTTAGTTGTAAGAGTGGACAACTTAATAATTGCAATCACTCCTTCAAGTTGCACCCTGCACCAATAGTGAAAAAGCTGCACTAATACTTCTACTGGATTTATAAAGCACATGTGAACTGATGTACAATCTAAATTAACTTTTACACATTTTAAATTTTCCCATAAAATAAGCAAGAGTTGGAGTTTATATTTAAGTGGATTTTTGCACCTAAGAATAAATGACTCTTTAGTTTGCTTTGTAGGAGGGTTTTTATTAATAGTGACAGCATTGCTAAAGTCATGAAGTATTTTCAAACTGATGACACAAATCATGAATCAAAGCATTGCAACAGCACAGTCTCATTTCACGGAACAGATTGTTCACATGAAGGATAAGGAACATATCAGTGTTAATGCATCTTTGTTTCAGAAATTGCGTTTGTTTCGGAACTGCAAAATGAAGAAGGAAGTGCAAAAATGAGGCACCTATTAGAAGTATGATCACACATGGTGCATGTTAGAAAAGTAATTATTGGAAGTTCTGTGCATTTATCTGAATCAACCACTCTGTTTAATACACTTTTGAAGATATAGAACTGTAATGACATAATTTGAAATAATAATGTCCATGTTGTCGGATTGTATATGTTAAAAGCGTTTCAAGATTTATGATTTTCATAGAATAAATGCCACAAATTCAAAATTATTAAGATACTGAGGTTCAATGAATTTGATAATAAGATAAAACACATTTCAGATAATGCCAGTCTACTATCACAACCTGAACAGCAGTTTAGAAAACAAAACATTTGCATTTGCAACTTACATTCTAAGATAAAACTATAAATACATAGATATTTAAATTTGACAACAAGCTTTGTTGCCAAAGTTATTTAATTTTTCTTCCTTAATGAAGCTCCTAGCTAAATTCATTGATGATTTTCTTGCCTGTCCTTTCAGTTATTTATTATGTATAATTTCTATTAGTTTATCAATACAGTGATTTCCAAAGGCATTGATTTCCACTGTATTTAAGAGTATCAGAGTAAATTTGTTTTGTTAAAAACTATAATTTTTCTTCTACTTTATACACTGCTTTGTATTGGTTTTGAATGTAAAGTCAAAATATGGCACCTGATTTGAGAGTTTAAAAAGCTATTTTCTGTTTTTGTACTTTATTATGTCCGTGACCAAATCCTGGCTGTGAATTTTTATTTTGGCAGGCAGAATCCGGAAGTTGCGTCATGAGCAACTATATAAGAGTTCTTCGCGCTACAGCTGACTCAGTTATCCTGTAAACAGTTGCAGCAGCGTCTGGAAGAGGAGCTTCGAGACTGGCAGCGGGACACCATGACGATAAACACACTACCCAACGGGACCACAGTGACAGAACTGGGTCAGTTTCTGAAAAACCCACCGGAGGGTTTCACCGTGAAGACCGTGGGCTCGGCTTACCAGGTCCAGTGCGGAGAAGAGAACCTGGTTTTCATCGATAAGTTTCACTCCGGGGATTTTGATGTAGTTTTCCAAAACTCACTAGGAAGGTGAGTAACAGACACTCATTGCATAGAATAAAGTATTCAATAAATCTGCACAAATGAAACTCATTGAAACTCGTTTTTATACCCTCTCTTGTAGGAAGCTTAAAATGCACAATTTGTGGGAGTATACCAGCATGAGGAAAAGTCTGCTGTCCAAGAGGATCTATGTGTTGGTTTCTCTCTGCGAGCAAAACATGCTAGAAGCCAGCAAGAAGGGGCCCATAAAGCCCAGAGGTAAATGTCCCTTTTATCCTGCAGCTCGGCTAGTTTCAGTGTTTTTCATTTGGTTGCATGCACCGGTTTAAATGACTCATGTTGGGCAGCTTGCAGCTGGGTGGAGTAATTGGCTTAAAGGCAGCACAGAATTGAGGTCACTTGGACATTTTTTGTGTGTGTCTAACTACAAACTCCTACTTGTCCCCATTTTAAAATGTCTTCCATTGTTTGTAGTTCTGCAGGAGTACATTCTGTCCATCAATGGTGGGAATCCGATGATGAAGTGGCAGATAGAGAAAGGCCTGGACTGGACCATCTCCTCTGTGGCTGGAGAGAGCTACAGGGTGGAGGTAAACTTAGCTGTTTTTGTTCATTTGTTCTGTTTATTAATTTACTGCTGCTGCAAATTATTTTTTGGTAACTCAATGTGGCTCTTCTTCCACTTCAGATTGACTTGAGTGAAATTTTGCAGAGCTTGGCTGCTGAAGGCCTCATTGCTGAGAACCTGATGAAATATAATCCAACATGGAAGGATGCCTCCTTCATCCTGAAGTACTACTCTGATGCCCTATTTGACTTCCCTCACTGGTTCGGCCGCAGCAAAAGATCATTTCAGGCAAGTCAACTGTTCTTATGCACACCTAATCATAAAATTAACATTCAAGTGTTTTTTTTTTGTTGTTGTTTTGTTTTTAATTTAACCCTGTGCTTTATTTTTACAGCTGAGACTGATAAGAAACACATGAGGGAGACTATAAGGATTGTATCTGCAAAGTTTTCCAGCATCTGTTGCTGCATATTTTAAAGAAAACTGAAGAGGAGTGTTCTCATCAGTGAATGAGAAGCCAATCAGTTGAACTCTGCTGTTTTGTCAGGAGTTTGGTATTTGAACTGCTGGCTTTGGATTCATCTGCTGGTCAGTGGGTGGAAAAGTACCAGCAAAGACTGAAAAGAAATCTGGGATGCCTTTGAGATTATAGTCATATTTTACATGTAAATATATATATATATTTTTTTTAAATGTACATGTATATATTTTTTTCTCCAACTGGGTTCTGCAGTTTGTGCTGTACAGTGATTGAACATGTTTGGAATATTTTTGTTTCATTTGGGTTTATTTTCTTAAGGTTGTAGAATAATTTTATATGATAAAATGAAATGACTTTTTACATGCAATTAAAGCCTTTTAATTCTGTGACTTTTGGCTTGAATGTGGGATATGCAAAAAAAAAAAAAAACATTGAACTTATGTAATGAAGCTATTGACATGAACTTCACAGATGTTGGTAATAACCAAAGTAGCGCTGCTGAGAAATCAACATGACAACTTGGTCTACAATTTTAAAGTGGGATAATATGAAAAGATTTTCTTAAAACTACTTGGAGAAATTGAGAACTAAAGAAATATTTGACAATTTATCCCTTTAAAGAAACTAGTACCTTACATTGGTTAGGAGGAATTTGAACTTCTTCTGTAAGCCCTAATCTCCAATTCTGCCTACTCGGCTTAATTCTAGTCTGTCCCATTCAATTAGTTGTATTTCCTTTGTTTTCCGAGCTCATTAACTAAAATCCACCCTAATTTGACTTGTATATGTTCCCACCATCAAACCTTGCAGTTCTGTTAGTGAAGTGGAGTAAAATGTCTCCACCAAATTGCTCTCTGTTCTCGTGGACCAACAGGACCTGCTAGTGCCATGTTTGGTGGTCGTTGACTCTTGGACAGCTCTCTGGATCATGTTAACTATTCTGCTGAAAATCTTGTGACGAAAACTTAGTTGTGGCTGGTTTATGGTCAAATTCTTTCCACTCCAAGGTTGTTCCAGTAATCTCTGTTTACTGGAACATTCAGCAGTTTAGAAACACATCTGTAATTAATTCCTTCAGCAGGTTCTGGAACAACAAGGTTGCAATACTTGATTCCCACTTCTTGCATGCTGGAAGTAATCTCTTTTATAGGTTTTAATGGGGATTAAACCAGTTATTTGTTGCTGATAGGGAGTAGTGTTGCTTTTTAAGTGCTGACAGATTTCTGCAGCGTTCTTGGCTGTCTACGCCTTCTTTTAAGTTAGTTTTTGTTGTGTTCAATTGCTATTCCCTGTGCCATTATGCTTTATTACAACTAGCTGAAATTATACTTATTTTTTGTATTGTGTATGCGTGAATTATCTGTGTTACATGTCAATAGCCCCATTAGCAATAAGAGATAATCACTGCTAAAAACACTGGCATGTTCAGTACTTATGTTCCTCCCTATATGCGACATGCTGAGCTATGGGAGGAGCAGGAGAGCAGATGCAGCGTTTGTGATGGTTTCTACGTATTCCTTGTAGTCGCTGCCATAAAAGCGCCACAGCAGGTAGTTGAAGATGCCCACAATGCACATCAGGGACAGGAAGGAGATGATGCGTTTTCCAAACAGGTACCCAGGAGTGCTGTGCAATAAAATAGTCAAAAATGATTTCCATATACATAATAGATATGTATATATCTATTATATAAACTGGCTTACCTTTGAGAGCTCTGTCCCAGATATCCAATGAAGTATTTCTGTCTGACAAGAAGGTAGATGATCCCGGCGAAGGCTGCAGGGGCTTGAGGAAGCGATGGGGGCAAAGAAGGTGGATTTATAACTTTATATAAACTTTTTTTTACACTTACATGACCTACTATATAAATGTAATGACAAGTGTACAATTTGAGAGCCCAGGAAATCTACTAAGTCTGAAACAATTTCTTTTGACCTATATTTTAGAAGCTCTTAACTATGACATTAAGATAGTACCATAGTTGCAGGGGTGCTTCCAGAAAGATTTGTGCGGGGTAACAGATGGGGGGCCACAAATACTAGAAATTTCAAGCCTCATACATAATTTCTCAAATTTAATTTCAGCATGTTGCTGTAATGGAAATTGAAATCCTAGTATCATTTGAGTAGAGTTCAACATTTGAAACAGCTTTGTATGAATCGATGCATAAATGTTGTAATCCCTCCCCTTATGATCATGCTTAAAAAGAAACACATGTAAAAAGTGGCTATTGTCTCAGACAGCTACCCCTTGTTTATGCTACTAAGACTACTGCCAGTCATTTGATCTGCTAATTTGTGTGTAAACTCTGCAACATACATCAAGTACATGACAAGATATTGAGATTTTTTTTTCTATTCATTATGCCAAAAAACATTGCCAAATGATATGTCTCACTATAGTCCATGTTGTTTTACAGCTAAGTGTAAGTGTCACATACTAAAAAAAGGGTACACTCTGTTTCACTACAGCTGGAAATGTTGAATAACATGATTCCAGTTAACATAAAAAGTATTCCTTGTTAACAGAACTCCTCTCAAATGAGTCAGACCCCCATGGCTGTAAAAATGAAGGACAAAAGCGTGCCTATTGACTAAGCTTAATCATTACCTTGACTGAGACAAACTCCTGCACACCACATCACTGCCAGAAAAGTTGGGTAGGCATCCATGCAGTTCCGGCTGCGATGAAGCAAATTGTATTTGTTAACTTAGTCTTTACAGAACTAGAAAAAAAAGAGACTGAAATACAAAAATCTATCTGCAGTGCCCAAGACAAGACAAACAATGAAATATGTGAAAACTGGACAAGTTACAACCATCAGAGAACACATAATCGGCAACAGCTGTAATTAACTAAGGGGAAATAATTTGCAATGATGGGCTGAAAAAATCGCTGAAGGGTTGCAGAAAGTTGCAGCAATAAAAATGAGTTTATGGCTGTGGGCTAAAGCTTTTTAAATGCTCAGTTGTAGTAACTAGGAAACATAATTGTCATAGAGTCTAAAACTGCACACAAGAAAAACTGAAAGTACACTGCTGGTCTGCAGAGAAAAGTTTGCTAGTTAAACTAGATTTTGATTTTCTCAAAATCAAATTTTTTTCAAGTTTTCTGCTTTTCTAATATTCGATGTGGTCAATCTTAAAGTGAAAGGTTGTAGTTTCACTTTTATGTTCAGATTGAGTCATACATTTAAACTTTAACGAATCATGAGAGCAAAGCAATCAAACAAAACATTGACCTGTGAATCAAAGGTTTGTAAAAGATGCCCCACCTGTCAAACAGAGAGACACGCCTTCTCAATCAATTCAATGCAAAGTTGTCTCCAAACTTTTGAGTGATCATATATGTGATTCATTTCAAAAGATCAAAACGTCACATTTGACCTCCTGCTTGGAAGGATTTCTGTGTTACATTTAACCTGGTTCATTTCCTAGCACAAACTCAGCTTTTAACTGCAATGATTTTCAGCAGTGTTCAGGTAGAGACTACTCCAGAAACCTCATGTTAGTCAGTTCTACAAGACGACCACTGACATAAGATCAGATCAATAAGATTAGCTTTAATGTCCAAAGGAAGTTATTCTTGGGGAGAGCATGGTAAGGCAAGGTAAGGTGAGGCACGGCCCTTTTATATGTATTGCACTGTTTTTTGTTTTTTTTTTTAGCAGCAAAGTGATTCAAAGCGTCTTACATAATTAGAAGGAAAATAAAAATAACAAAAAAGCAAAACAACATGACATTGAAGTGGCAAAGTAAGAGAAAACAATGACAGGTTGATAAAACAAATTCCCCTTTGTTTTATCAAAGGGCAATTCTAACCAAATGGGATTTTAGCCTTGATTTAAAGGAACTCAGTGTTTCAGCACTTCTGCAGTTTTCTGGAAGTTTGTTCCAGTAGTGTATAAAGACTAAGAACTGCTTCATTTTTTGCTGCTCATTTTGGAAATGCGGAGTAGAATTTAACCACAACCCCAGAAGACATGAGCAGTTTGGAAGGTTGACATGGCAGCAACAAGCCTTTAATGTATTTTGTGCTAATCCAGCTGGTTGATGCATAATCCAGTCAGGATTAAAATCTTAAAGACCATTACAGTAAAGACAGTATTATTCTGTCACTATTAAGATCTCTCAATAATTTTATTTATTTTATTTATGTGCTTAAAGATTCATTAAACTGCTCAACAAGACAGAAGCCCTTGTTCCAACTCCAAAAGCTTGATTGTAAAATCCCAGCTGCATGCAAGGACAAACCAAAACATTTTCTGGAGAAAACGTTGCTGAGCTGAGCTGTGACAATGACAAGAACATGTTCGGAGTAGTTCAGATGAAGGTTTCGAGTCTAATTATATAATTCCTGTTGTCAAGCACGGTAGTGACAGCATCATGGTGTGGGATTCTTGCCAGTGAGGGGCCTAACTAACAAACAGCTAGATGATAAAAATTTTCACCAATGTTTTATCAAAATGCAATAACACATGGAATAATTGCTATGGATACAACAAAATAACATTAAGCGTTAACCCAGTCACAACTGTATATTTACGAAAAAAATGTTTGAAAGTCAGTTGAGTGCCAGGAAAATATATCTGACAGAAGCTTGCTGACAATGGCTTCAAAAAGTGTGTGGCTGACAGTCAGCAAGCTAAGGGCCATTTAGATAGAGAAAGAGGAAGAATTTAATTTGTCCTGATGTTGACAAGATAATTAAAATTTGTGCTGCAAAGTCGTTGAATTTAGTACATTAGTCATCTCAGAACTGTTACATAATACCTATGAGTGTATGTAGACTTCTGAGCTGCTTTCTATGAACGTTTCCTTAAAAACAACCCTTTAAAATGTGCAAAACAGTTCAGAAGATCAGCATTTGTTTTTATCTTGCCTAGCAAACAAAAGAGAGGATATGACTTGAACATTTTCTGTTAAAACAGGAAGAGCGTTGCTGCTTGTGGAATAATGGAGTAACCGGAGAAAAATCTATGATGTAACTCACTGCCAAACAGTATATAAACACCAAGCCAAAAAGAGAAAATCTAAAAAAAAAAAAAAATTAATCATCTCCTAAAAAGGATTTTCATCTAGTTCAAGTTTTGTTAGCGTTATGAACTTCTTTCTAATGACGCTATTATCATTTACTGGATATTTTCACCCAAGTGCGAATGCCAATACAAGTTTTAAACTAAGCATATTGCATGAGTACTTTTTAAGCAAAACTATTATTTATTTACATAAAAAGCAAAGTAATAAAGTGACTTGTAAATTACTGGCTATTAACAAGCTATTTACTGGCATTTTTTTTAACATAGTTTAGTTTGGGAAACTATGAACAGCCTCCCAGTGGTGGGTAATATTTGGAGTAATTTAAATAAAATTTAAACCTTACCATTACACAAAGTAATCTTATTCTATTTCTGTATAAAGTAACAGAGAAACAGAGTATTTCTCAGTTGCTTTATGTTAACGGCGAAATTAAGAGTTGAGAAAAGGGCACTCACTTTGCACAAGACACTCGCTGAAAAGCAGAACCGCTCGTGTTGCGGTTCTTGCATTCCCTCTCAACCTTTTGAGCAAAAAACACTGAAAACACAAACAGAAAACTGTTAAACAGTTTAGAAAACAGTTTTTAAAATTCATTAAAAACTGTTGTCTTTATCTCACCGTTCTGAAGAACACTGATGAGCGTGACAACGACCAGCAGGTAGATATTTTCCACCACTTTGCAGGACTCCATGATAAAATCGTAGTAGCTCGGTGGACGCTGAAGCTGGGCTGGACAATGCTGCTCTTTCACATTCAGGAACTTCTATTTAAATCCAGACACATATATGCTTCCCTTACTGACAATACGTATGCTACTATTGCACCTTCAGCAAACACACAAAGATTTTAGCTTCCTCTTTATGTAAATGATGCTCTGGCTCAACACAGAGGTCTGTGTGTCTGTTCGTGTGTGTGTGTGTGTGTGTGTGTGTTTATGTGTGTTATGTGTTCATGCACCAGTACACTAGTTTACTCCTTTGCAAATTTTGTTCCCAACATGGCAGATCATTTTTATTTCTGGTGAAATTTCTAGAGAATGGCGATTATATTTACTTAGCAGGAGTTCCCATATAGTTCCTCTACATTTGGTAGACCAAGACAGAAAAGGGCATTATTGTGGAAATTAAATTAAATTTAAAAATACTTTGTGAAATAGAAGTAAATGATACAAATGGATACTTAAATTTTTTTTTAAATATTTTCCTTTACTTGAGCTGTCTCCTACATGGCTGGCTTAGACTTTCCCTCCACTTTACATGTCTAATAGTTTCTTCTCTATTGCTTGCTTGTCTGACTAATACTCTCCTTTCCCAGCTTGCCAGATTAGGTGGACTGCCATGTCCCAGGAAGTTGTGCCACGGTCTTTCTATTCTGAGATGATGGATTGATTAGTGCACTGTGAAATGTCGAAAGCCTTGGAAGTTGTTTTATAACCTAACCATGATTTATAAACGTTCTTCTTTACATGTGTGGTGTGTTCCTTGACTTTCATTACGTTTCTTCACAAATATTCTCTAACAACCTGTGAGGCTTTAAAAGGACAGCTGGATTCATACTGAGATTAAATCAAAAGCGGATTCCATTAACGAATTAGTTGACTTTTTAAGACAGCGCGGTTGCAGTGGTTTTTATTCAGGGTTGCCAGAATAATTGGAATCGCAGATCTATTACATTTCTGAATGTCATATTGGCTACAAATAGAAATGTAGCTTATAGAAAAGTAATGAGGAAGTGAGCTGCGTGAGTAAAATGATTTAGCATTAATTTTAGTCAAACAGCGCCTGCATGTGGAAAAATTGTCTCCTTTGTTCTTCCTGTTTTTAAACAGCCTTGACATTGTCTACTGTGTAATGAACGTATCCCATCAAATACCCAATGGTTTTTCAACATGAATTTAAGTTTTATACGCAATAGCAAACTCTTCTTGAATGAATACCTATTATAAATCCCACCACATGACGCGTCTGGATAAGACTGAGAAAGAAGCCCGGACCGAAACGAAATATAAAAAGCGAAAACCTGCGATCTATTACTGACCTGTCGCATTGAAAGTACTGTACTGCACTTGATGCACGAAATAAAAAAAAATAAAAATAAAAATCAGAGCCCGGATAACATGTATATGTTTACTTTGACGAGTTTAAGTGTTCAATTAAGTCCCATATGGTCTAGCGGTTAGGATTCCTGGTTTTCACCCAGGCGGCCCGGGTTCGACTCCCGGTATGGGAACTTACCGTTTTGCTGTTTGCTCTTTATTCTGCGGCTTTCATACTTATTCAGTCCCAAAGTAAAAGTGGCAGTGCTTCACGGCACTCTTACCCAGGGGTGAAAGTAGTTTTAAATTCTTGGGGGTACTATGACAAAAGTATATATAATGTTGACTGGCTATTAATGACTGGCAATGTTGGCACCGCGAGATGCCATGAGACCTAAATTCTGAACGTCATGGCATGGAGTGCATCCCAGTTTTCCATGTCTGGCATATAACCATTCATTTTAGCTTTTAAACTGGTTCTATTGATCCTGTGTCCAGACAGAGGGATAATCAGTAGCCTAGCATCATGACCTGTTTGTTCTGAAGATCCTGCAGCATCCACTTCTCTTCCTAACATGGCGCCTCCTCACTCTGACTCTCACACTGACAGGAGGAACCACAGAGCTCTGTTAAGTTAAAACACATCTTCTGAAGTTGGGATATTTTTCCTCCAACAGGTTCCAGAGGAATTACCTCAAACCAGATGTTGGACTGGATTTTATTTCAATGCCATTTGTGAATGTTAGAGCCTCAATTTCAACAGTGGAGCTTTAAAGGTTGAAAAACGTCATTTTGGCAGCAACATCAATATTTCCACTAAATAAGAGACAAAAAAATAGTTTGATAGAGGAAAAGCCTCTCAGACTCTAAGCTGAATGTGAGATGCCAGAGAGCAATAAAACTATTTTTTTTAAATTAGACAATTAATTTAATTTCACATAATTATCGCGGTAGAAGCCATTTGTTAAATACTTATTGAAACATATTTACCGTGCTTGATGTTTGTTGTGAATGGTATACTCACAAAGAACGAGATAATTAGTTCAAATTTGTCGTTTATTGAACGTTCAGTAATTACAGCGGGTGTAATGCGCCAAGGTAAAGGCGCATAAAGGTAAAATACAGGCACAAGGTAAAATAACTCCTACCAGGGGTGAAGCGCACCCGTTGCCATGAGCCGAGCAGGGACTACATTAAAAACATATCATTCAGTCCGTTACGATATCAGGTTTTCAGGCTTGATATTTATTTTGTGATTATTAATAAGCCTCTCATGAACACAGCGGTGGTTGATTAGTTAATTTTAAACTCCTGCTCTGCTAGTTATTTTAATAATGGAACCGAAACGCACAGAAATTGCGCAGCACTTTGTTGAAATAATAATCACTGAGATTATTATTGTTGTTGGGTTTTGTTGAGAAATCAACACGTTTTATTGATTTTTTTTTTTACTGTTCTTTAATAAAGTTATGAGCGTTTTGATTAGGAGTCAGAGCAGGACGTGCCGTCGTTCAGTTTGTCACCTAATGCCGAGATCGGCTCAAAACCTTCCGATCAACGTGTTGCTCCTCTGCTCTAGCAAAACACGAACAGTTCAGAAACAATATGAAATGGGGAAAAAAGCTGTTTATTAACTGATTATGTCGTGTTTTAGATTGTTCTTGGAAAAACTAATCAGTCACGGCTGCACAGTGAACCCATTGATTCTTTACAGCAGACAGCCGCTCCCCTCTCTTGCAGTACTCGACTTTCACCCCTGCTCTTACCATCACAAACTTCTGAATGTTTTACTCGTTTGTTATTCAATGTTGCATGACTGTTTTTGTGTTTAATGATGTTAAGCACTTTGAAATGTCTTGCTGCTGAAATGTGCTATGCAAGTTAAATTTGATTTGATTAAAAAGTAAATGCAACTTAAATCAAAAGCAGTAGAAATATTTTATTACATCAACAGCTGGCCAAAGGTTGATAATTTACAAATGAACTAGAACTTCAAATTACTTTAATGACATTAAAAACCTCCCAGCTTCAAGTAACTTGTAAAAAAAAAAAAAAAGTTTCTGCCTTTAACCAGGCTTCTGCATGATCTTTTTACATACAGTACTCAAGAAAAACAAAGTGCAATGTTTGAAAAAGCTAAAAAAAAAAAAAACATTTACAGAAAAAAAATTATGATTGAGTATTTGCTGTAAAATTGTAGTCGAACACAAACTGAAGGACTCCTACGTAAATGAACAGGCGAGGCAGCTTGCAAAACCATCTCACATCATGTTCTTACAGTTAACTGTGCTTGTAGTCTTCAGTGTTAATGAAAAGTAAAAAGCTAAAGTGCACCAGCGTCCTCAATCTCTGTCGTCAGGATAAGAAATGCGAGAAAAACTCAAACTCCTCCAGGAAGTTGTGACCTTCATGCTGAGTTGTTTGACAGTTGGTTGGAGTCACAGCTCCAGCACCGCTAACCACACAGTCCAGCTGGTTCGCCCCGTCCTGCCCGCTAACCAACATCTCCAGGAAGCCAGTGCTGTCCGGGGAAAGGCTGCTGGCTGTCATTGCCGGGGACAACAGGTCAGAAGAGGCGTAGCCGTCGTAGGTGCTGGAGCTCACGGTGCTTGGAGAGTTGAGGTTGGTGCTGTCCGGTCGGAAGTGGGCTCCTCCTCCGGTTCCCAGCAGCTGGTTCAGCTTGGCCAGCTTCTTTTTCTTAGCTTTAAGCTTCTTCAAGAGTTTGTATCTGAGGGTTTCAGTGTCACTAAGACCTGAAGAAATCTTTGAGCTTCTTGTTTTTTTAAATGAAGATATTTCAGTGAGCAGAGGAGACGTACCAGACGTCCAGGTGACAGGGGCATGGTGGTCAGATAGGATAGCTGGAGAGGATGGAGGAGGAATGACGGGGTTGGGCTTCTTTGCACCAAAGCCACCGTACATCTCTGCAGCTTTTGGTGGGAGACCCGTACGTTCTTCTGTACTGAGCGGAGGTCTGGGGACTCTGGCAGGAATTGGGGGCTTCTTCACCGGGTCGGGATGAGATGGCTTCACTTCAGATGTTACGCCATTTTGTGTGGGAGGAGGATGTGAAATGTTTTTATGAGCTTTATTAACAGGGTGTCTGCTTAGTATGTAAGACCAGCGATCTTTCTGAGTCAAGAGTGGAGGGGAGAGGTTAATAGAAGACACCGCGGATGTCTGCTCTGTAACAGCAGCTGTGTTACTTTGCGCAGGGCAAACGGATTCGGGCAGCTCCAAGGGTTCGGGCGCCTCAGAGGGTTCGGGTAGCTCTGAGGGTTCAGGCGGAGGATCTTTGGAGGAAGCTGCTTTTTTACCTTTCCGCCTGCCGACGGTTTTCCTAAGGTTAGGTGGTCTGCTTTGTCGTTTTTTTGCATTGGGCACAAACGTGGGATCACTCACCAAGTTGTTCGACGACTCTGACTCAGATGAGCTGCTGCTGGGCGCAGACTGAGCATCGGTGTTGTGACACAAGTTGCCCCCTGCTGCAGGGACGGAGCTGTCCGGTAAAGAAGAAACTACATTTTCAGTCCTCATAGGACTACTCGGGTCTTCTGCTTGTTGTGTTGATACTTCTTCTGTGCTCAAGTCTTTCAAACTGGGAACCGCTTCAATCTCAGCTGGAAGAGGTTCTAGCAACACGCTGGACAGAGAGCAGAAGGACGGCTGCGTCTCCTCTTCCTCCTCCCAGAAGACAACATGGATTTCCTGAGTGGGGATCTGCAGGTGCTGGTGGGTCTCACAAGCATTTTTTAAATCATCATACTCCAGCCATGATCCTGAAGGAACAAACATGACAATCAGACATGGGTCAGGTTAAATTAACGCAGTGCTTCTCAATTACAGTCCTCAGGCTGTCATCAAGTACTGCAGAAGGCTGTTAACCAACCACAGATTCAATCCAGGTGTGTGGCAGAAGAGGAAGGGGGCTGGAGGACCAGAATTGAGAAACACCGAATTAACAGAAGCCATGTGGTTGATATTCTGTTAAACTGAAACAGACTTAAGCAAAAAGTGTGAAAAAAGAACCACAAAACTGAACAAATGTTTAAATTAAGCCTTCGTTATTGCACACACTTTTATACCAGTTCCTTGTTCTGCTCTTTATGGAGTAACTGGGAGCGTAATAAGCCGACAAATTGCATTTTAATTAGTCGGGTGGGTGGTCAGCCTGCAGTAGGCCACTCGAAGCATGCCAACCTTCGCTGTAAAATACCGTTTGTGTAATAAGAATGACCAGGTTTTATTTATTTATTTTTTGCAACACCAAGTAATTACAAACAGTTGAATTTGGAGGATATTTTTAGGTAGGGAAATGTGTAGGTTTCTTTCAACCAGCTGACAGGAAGTGCACAGCAAGAACAGCCTCTCTCTTAAGATGCTGCATTTAAAATCCTACATCCACAACAGAAATCTAGAGTGCAAAAGAACTGAGTTTAAAGACAAAAACAAAATCAGTTCATACAAGGACCAATGGCCAGATGGGGGAATGAATGCATGAATCAACTAGTAGATGGATCAATGACTGACAAATAGATGAATGATGGGATGAATTAAAGGGTAAATGGATAAACAACAGGAGAGACTGATCGATAGATATTCAACTGGTTGTATGTAGAAATACAAAAACATTATCAGATTGACAATCTAACTCACAACCTTCAGATTTCCAGACAACCACTAATCTTTAACTCCTACCATCCTCATTGTACATCCAGGTGATGAAGTGGTTGAGTCGCTGGCTGTACTGGATGATGGCGGTCACTGAGTAGCGTTTCCCCTGGAAGCTGAAGGCGTAGTTCCTAACGTTGTTGTGAGGAAGCCCCTCTACAAAGTGCAGTGCAAACACTGGAGGTACACTGCAAAAAGACACGAAGAAAACAAGTCTGAGACTGAATCAAGTTACTTTACTGAACTTACTTTACTTTGTTGAACTTACTTAGACACGCTTGATAAGTGCAGGGCTGCAACTAACGATTCTGATAATCGGATAAAATAAATTGCCACATTCTATACATTTTTCATTTCACTACTTAAGCAGTTTTGTACCATATTAGAAACACATTGAAAAATGCAAATGAATAAGCATATCAATTCATTGTGTTAATAGGAAGGTAAACATTTTACAATAATGCAAAACAGCATTCCTTTAGTGAATTTGAGCAGTCACTGAAGCCGTTTTAATCTTAAATGCAAAATGCATACATTCATATTTTGTGCAGTTTTGGCTTAAGTACTGATGTGACATGACATGGCCATTTTTTTTGAGATTTTATACTCTGGTTAACGATTAAGCAATTACTAAATTAGTTGACGGTTATTTCAATAACATTAATCATTTCAGCACTAGATAAATATGGAGCTTTACCTCTCCAGTGACATCGTCCTCCTCTCGTTCTTCTTGCTGCATGCATTACAAGGAGCTAAATGAGCTGCATTGAGAGGAGTCCAATCAGACACAATATTTGTGAAAGTTGGGAGAGTTTTTTCAACCCTGAAGAGGAAAACAAAAACAGATAAAACAAATGGAATAATCCTTTTATTTACTGAAACAAAAATCAGTAGATTAATATGTTAAACTGAAGGAATTTCAAGCAGAAATAAGTTTAATATTTATCAGCCAGAATCCAACTTAGTGCCAACATTCGTTATAATATATAACTTACAATGGGAACTGTGAGGGAAATTATTCTAAGTTCTCAAAATTACACAAAACATTAATACTTTAGAAGGATAAATTAAAATTCTAACTTAATATTGGCTTTAGATTAAAAAAAAATAGATCTAAGAGTTTTAAGTTTATGGATGTTTCCTTTTAGGCTTCCGTTTGATTTATCGCACATAACAAACCATCACCCACCTTTCTTTTGTGACAACTTTGCATGCGCTGCACTTAAACTCCCAGAGAAAAGTTGCTTGGAAGAGATGCTCCACCCAGGAGTCCAACTTGAGCAGAAGAGGCATGGCAAAAACAGGAGTTTCCCTCTGACCTGAAACACAAACACACAGCTCAGAGAAAGACTGCATGTCTGAGATCTGATGTAAGCTGTAGCTACACACCATTTCTGAATGCTTTTAAACAAACAAATGTCAACAGCCTCAATATCTTAAAGCCAAATACAAAGAGTGAACCTCTCCTGTCTGCATCAGCTTGTTTTTCTTTTCCTTTACTTTGAGTATTCAAGAAAAAAGAAATGCTGCCACCCTCATAAATGGGGCAAGATGTGTCATGTTTCATAATAGCTGCTTTAAAAGCTCAAATTCAGCCTTTTACATTGATACAAGGATTTATGATGACTGATTTTATCCGTCGAAGAAACATCTGGCTTAAGCTGTTACAACATCTTAAAATGTGGATCATAATAGCTGTTTAAGTCTGGTTCATTCTTGAGAACAACTTCCAGATTTTTAAAGGTGTAGCGTTTATCTGTTCTATTATATGCAAGTATAGACATGATGGGGATTTCCAATCGTACCACTCGGGGAGAAGAATAGTTCTGTGACCCAGAGATGGTTTCGGTCTGAAATGTGCAGATTGACCCCAGAACAAAAGCGAATGACATTGTAGAAGTTGGCTGAAGCTGGTAAGACAGACTGACTTGGGCTGGAAGGCCAATCAGCAAGAAAAAAATCCTTTACTTCAAAAGAAAATGCACACAGAGCATGTCTTCATTTCTGGAGAGATGCTCTGTGGTCTGATTGAACTAAAGTGAAACCGTTTGGCCATAATGACCATCATCCCTCTTGTACGTCTGGAAACACCATCTCAATCGTAAAGCAAAGAGATGGCAGCATCATGCTGTGGGACTGTTCCGATGTAGGTGTAACTGGTGCACTTCATGTATTCACGAAGGAAGAAGATTATGTGGAAATACTGAAGCAACATCAGGCAGAAAATTAAAGCTTTAGCAAAAACAATAACACAATACAAATGGAGAAAACTAACATGATCTTACCCAGTTTGCATTGCAGTTTGGGTTGCAGTAGCTTGAAAACAGACATTCTGAGACTCTGTAGGTCAACATGGGCTTTTTGCAGCACGTGACTCGGCACCCGGGGAACACCATCTAGCCAGAAACAAAAATCAGTCAAAACAAACACAGTCAGATCCTGCATCATGGTTTTAATAACATCTCCCAGAGAAGAAAGGTGCAATAAAATGAACCATCACTTTTCTGTTTCAGTTCTTTAAATGAGGGTCTAACCAAAGCAGTAATATTTAAAGCAATCTTTAAATTACGCAACAAACGAAATACTATTAAGGCCACAGTTGGTAACTTTTATACAAATTCATTTTTTACATACTTGTTAAAACTTTCACTATATCCTGACAGCATAACATGAAACAGATAATCTGGGGGGCGGGGGGGAATCAAGCTCCTTTGCCTCCTCCATGTGGTTTCCATGGTTATTGTTAACTAAAATTAATTAAGTACTGAAAACTGAGAAAACATTTCCATTAACTGAAATAAATAAAAGTGATAATTAACAGGGAAAGACTATGACTAACTGGTACTCCATCGTGCGTTTTTAAAACTAAAACATAGTGAAATTATAAACGTAATACTTCAATTTTGTGTTTATGAGTCCATGTCTTTGTCCCCCACCCACACAAGCAGTAATCCTACTGGCAGAAAATGACGACAGCAAGAGTTGGGAGAAAACACCAGTCATTTAGTTGTTGAACAATAACTGAATACATTATTGGAAATGGCATCTTCTGCAGAGTATTAGTTACTCAATCGATGCATACATAACCATAATACTTTGTGAATTCTGCGCATAAAAAAGCTAAAACTACTACCATGACGAAGAAAAACTAAACTACAATATTTAACTAATAAAAAAATAGCAAACACACTAAGAACTAATTAAATCTACCTAAATCAGTCAGAAAGTGTTGTGTGTTTAATGAAAAACACACAACACGTGACTGACAGCGCTGTGACCCTCCTTCTGGCTATGATTGGTTGTTCCTGGCCAATCAGAAGCAACCTGCTATGTTTTTCTGCAGATGGCAGTAGGACCACAAAGAGGCAAAGGGCAGATTTTTTCACAGATTATCTGTGAGGACATGGTGAGAGTTGAAACGTCTATGTCAAAAACATATTAAAAACATAACTTGTGTGTAATTCTCACACTTCCATGCTGTTTATGCATTAAATAAAATTACCTTTGTCAGTTTGCTGATGTTCCTGGACTGCAGCACAGATGTCTTCATGTTTTCTCAGCAGTTGCCACACAGACGAGCGCTGAGGCTGACGTTCAGGTCGAAGTTTTCTCAGGCTCTTACAGTTCACCAACACAGCCAGCAGAGAGTCCAGCCAGCACAGGTTGTTGCTGTTTCTCCACAGAAGCTGTTTTGGAACAGAGACAAATTTGTCCAACGAATCCCGACTCTCTGAACGGAAACCGTTAACGTCTCGACACGGGGAGACGTCCGCCTCGAGGGATTCCTTCGTTGTCGGCTCATTGCATAGAGGCGATGAGGTTTTGATATAATCTGGATAAATGGCCTGACTGGAAGTGGATCTGCTACATGTGTTCAATGGTGGAACATTGTTCTGCTTTGCTGCATCCGGGTAGACAAGGTGAGGAGAGGGAGAAGGGGGCTCTGCTCCATTACTAGCCAACAAAACGTCTGAAGACGATCCAACAGAACTGGAGCATGCAGGGGGAGCAGGATCATCCCTGTCCTGAACGTCTCCGTCGTCCCAGTCCGCTGTCTTGAAATCTGGACTTTCCTTGTGGTATCCATTCCCTATTTCACTTCCAGTGTTTGGGTTTCCTTTGTGCCCATTTATCACAGAGTTTAAAGAGCAATTCTCTAGAGAGCTGACAGGCACGTAAGAAACACTCTGTGGCCGGAGATCGCCATGTTCGCTTAGTCGCTGCCGTTTGAGCGGAGATTCAATCACGTCTTCCACAGCCAAGGCGTTTTTCCTTTTGTTCCCAACCGTAGGGTCCACAGGAGCTAGGCTAGCCAAAACATCCTCCAAGGGCCGAGTAACCAGCGGGAAAAGACACTATATGGGAATACATACACATTTATTAACCACAGTCAGAAAAACAAACATATGAACTACACAGATTGGATGGAATTTATTGTAAAGATCAGAAAAATCTGAAAATCAATGTGCTACTGCAGTAAAATAATCTCACACTAAGGAAAAAATCCTAATTCGGAAATATTGATGCTCCTGTCCCATCATACACACCTGACCAGAACTGTGAGACTAGCAAAGAAATGACAAGTATTCATTTGTTGTTGTGGTTATAACATGAGCTTTAAAATGAAAAAAAGAAGAAACAGGAGCAATAGATAAAAAGATTATGCAAATAATGAAAAGCATTTAGACTCATATCGGCTGTTCATCAGCTAATCAAAAGTTTAATTCCAGCAGCCAAAAAAAAAAAAAAAAAATCATAATCTGCACACACTTTTGGCAATGCCATGCTCCCTAAATGGAAAAGATAAAACACAACACAAGTTGCCAGGTGGTAACATGAGCACTAGGAATACCTTAGCAACCAAAGTTGAGCAAAGTCTTCTATCTAAATCTAATCATTTAAATATGTTTATATTCTTCATAAACATTCTTCTTTTTCTACAAACCAAGCACAACTCTTCAACTTTAGCAAAAACATATGCAGGTCCACATGTAGGTTTGAAAAAACCCCCATCTCCATTCTGTTTACATTTTTTGGAGCATGAGCTGGATTTGCTCTGTTTACTTGCTGAGGCAGAGCCAGCTATAACATAGCTGAATTCCAAATATATGCAGTATATTTGGAATCTCATGCAGGATCAACTTGTTCTTGGTTTGATTTTCAATTTTCATGCCCTCTTTTACTCTTCGCTACAACTCCAGCAGTGAGCTTTGGAGTTATTTTTGGCTCAATTACTATCCTCGCTCATTGAGCGTGGTGGCGAGATAAATATGGGTCCTTATCCAGTCGTGTGACTGGTGGCAAAAATAAAGTAGGTCTCTGTGTCACAACATATTTGAACCTCTGGGAAATATAGTCAGGTTTTACTAATAAGAAGTTCCTAGAAACTCTCAATATAAAGTAAATAAATTACCAAATAAAATATTGTGTAGGAGGATTGGTTAAAGATATAATTTTGTTAAAACTATTTCCGAACATTTCTTTTTTTCTACAAAAGTCTGGATTTTTCAATGTCAGATTACATTACTGTAGTAACAGATTATTTTTACTTTAAGGCTTCTTACTCATGTTTACCAGAATGCCAACATAAATGTCTTTGTAGATGTGTTTGTGTGTAAACAGTATTGAGATTTACCTGTGGGTTTGTGCAGAGGGTTATGGATTCCTGGAGATTGATCCGGTAGGAGCGTAGGGCAAAGGTCAACCCTTTGGAGTTACACCAAGGACAGTCCTCCAGTGAAGCAGCTCTTTCCTGAACCTACAAAACAAAAATCAAACATTCACAATCTCACAAGTAAGGTTAAGTCAGGTTAAGTAGATTGAAAGGTGGGAAACTGTTTTATATTTTGGTTTACACTTTGAAAGTTTTCATAGATAGCAATAGTTCATGTGCATGTAAGAACAGAAAAGTAAACAAAGAAAAGAGAAAGTGAGACATCAGCCACATGTTTCAAACAAACAATACTTTCGCCTTTTACTATCAGATTTCCAGTTATGCTTGATTTCATTTTTCATTCTTTGTTTCTTCTATTAATTTGAATTGGTACTGTCCAGTCACAGTGCCTCTCTCAAATACAATTCAGCTTTGCGCAAGTGACAACAATGAGAGGAAACTGAGTTCCACTGACTTTTCCCAAATACCCCGCCTGCAGTGAGGCCAAAGCCTCCAAACCAATGCTTTCACCAGACATTGGCAAACAGCTGTTGCTCCTTGGTTCCACGGCTGCCCGTTGCCGCTCAGAACTTATCACCGCGGCCCGGCTCATGGTCAGAGGAGCTGAGGGGGAGGATACAAATGAGCACAGAGCACAGGTTACAAACTTAGGAAAATGCATGGGAAAGAAGGTTAGATTCAGAAAGATTTTTTTCTATTATTTGAATAGTTGGTCCTGTCTTTTTGACCTCATCTTGTACATAAAGGAACTGAAGCAACTATTGCTGAGCCTGGGTCTGTTTTTCCATTATTGCACAGATTTTTTTGCAGCTGAATCATAGTGTCTGTGTTTAGCTGTGTTTCTCTCCTACATGAAGCCACTGAAGAAACTACACTTGGTATTAACTTTTTCATTTAGTACTCCACAGTCAGTGCCTCTACATTTTGTGTGTGCGCATCTAATCTGTCTCCTCCAAACGCCTGAATCTGAGCAATAGCTGCTTGTTTAGCAAAAGGGACTGCTGCAAAGTTAACAACACAATGCCATCAACTAGCCACTATCACCACAAACAAAAATGAATGAATGTGACTGTGTTTCTGTAAAACAAAACTAGAGATGACATTTGTTGTGAATCGGTGGTTTAATGTAACTAACCCGAAGCAGATAAGGAGTATGCACCCAAAGATAAGAAAGGAGCAGCGATGTATTACTTTAATCTCTAGCTGCACAGTAAAAACTCGGATCACTGATTGAAACAGTTTTAAACCTCAGCAACAGTATGAGCAAAAGAACAAAAAACAAACATGTTTTATAAAAATCTCGATATACCTTCATACTGGTATTGGGCCGATGTTTTGTGCAAAGACGTGTTTAAAAAATGATGAACCTTTACACATTTGTTATCTGCACAATGCAATCAAATTAACAAATACATTAGTATCTCCATTGAAAAACTCCAAAATGGTGAGACTATTGTTCTATAATTAACTGTAACCTTGGTTCTTGAATGTTCTATCCATTCTCAAATAATTGTGAAATTATTTGTAGATGGCTTGGCTACAAATATTTTAGAGAGGTTGTGCTGCACGTTGTCTATCATTTACTAATGAGAGTGCGTGGATTGTTTAGGGCGTATAATGTGTTTATTACACACCTTACATTCAGTGGCACTAATAGTTTTGTTTAGTACAATGACAATAAAGTGTAATCAAATAAAATTCATCCAACATTCCATTTTCTAGACTTGCACAGTTGCAGGAGGGCGGTGGTTTCATTTTCCAGCCCTTAATGCTTGAGACGCAGGATACAGGTTATCCAACACTTCATAAATAACATACATGACTATGTTCAGGCAGTTTTAATCATTTGTTTTATATTGGTTTTATGAAAAGGCCAATTCTGACCAGAACGCTCATGCTGGCTTACCATCAACTTTCTTGCATTAAATAACACTTTTACTCATTTTTCCTCCATTTTTAGGGAAGCCTGTCTTGTTTTTTTTTTTTTTTTTTTTTTTTTTTTTCCCTTTTGCTTTTTTTAATTTTAACTCAAA